CTCCCAAACTCGCGTGAAAAGGGGAAAAAGTAATTAAAAAGCTGACCAAATTTCAATTTCACTAATTTTTTCATTTTTCTCTTTCTCTACCTTTCATCTTGTTCACAAAGCCACCATGAAATCAACCATTTCTCCATTCCTCTTCCTCCATCCCCACCTTTACCTCTTTGATTCCACTAGAATAAAAAATGAAAAAAAAAGCATTTTGATTTCCTTGGAAAGGACAAAAAGCTGGTCAGAGGTGTCTATTGTGTGGTTAAAGAGAGAGGAAGTACAATACCTTAACACTCCGAGGCGGGTGTTCGGTTCATGAGGAAATAAAATTGTTTGTACCGATGGTGTTTGTGGTGGGTATTGTGGAGTTGATGATAGGTATTGGGTAAAACCATCCATATTCATTTCGATGTGGTGGTTGTGGCGGATCTAATTACCTGCACACGTTTTCATTCTCACCACCATTTCATTCTTCTCTCACTATTCTTCAAATTTTTTTATAAATTTGTTTTCAGACGTTTATTGTGGCCAAATTATGTTGACATCATTGATGTTTGTGATGGGTATTGACAGAGGCGTATTCAGGATTTATAGATAATGGGTGCACTATTACAAAAATGTGGATCTAAGACATAAATTTGATCGGTTAGATTCTTTTTACTGAAAACCATTAAAATTTTAAAATCATAGGTCCAAAATTAACTTTTATTTATCCAAACCAGTTACAAAATCTTAGAAAGAAAACTAAAACAAGATAGATAAAAGATTCAAATTTCTAACCTCACCCAGAGAGGTGCACCCAATCATCATTGTACTACATTATATAATACTTCGAGTCTGGGTTCACACATCTATATTTAAATATTTTTTAAAAATATAACACTATTATATATGATTTCGGGAGGGGACCATGGGTTCACGTGAACCCGGTGACCCCCTCCTGTATATGTCCCTGGGTATTGATGTATTTTGAAATTGACAGCGATGGTGTTGTATTTTGGAGTTGATTTCAATGGTGGTGGTGTTAAGAAATATGAAATTAACGGTGATGGAGGCAATACAACTGTTGGTGATGAGTATTGTAGAGTTGACGGCGGCTGGTGATATTGTTATCGGTGATGGGTATTGTGGAGTTGATGGTTGTGATAATGGTGTAGGTAGTGGTGAAAATGTTGTGAATTTGATGGCGGCGGTAATCAAGGAACAAAGCGAGGAGTAGTTGGTGAATGGTGGTGCACTGTGAAATCTACGGTGGTGGAATGTGGGACGATGAAGGTTGGGGTGGGTGGTTTTTTACTTTTAAAAAAATGTGTAAAAATATTTTTTTTGACACGTGGAGGTGCGTGTAGCACACCTACCTTTAAAATTGTGGTTCTAGACTTCTGAGGGGATATTAAATTCACTTGAAATGAGTTAAGGGGGGTAAATAATTACCCGTAAAGTTGTAGTGCTAAAGTAAGTTATGCGGACAAGTTCAGGGGGTTTTTTATGTATTTTCTCTAGAAAAAACAATGCATGCATTAATTATGTGTATCAGTAGTCCTTTATTTGGTGCATTTTTTCATGTTATGTATAACTAATGCTTGCATTTGTTGTACACTCTATTGTGTATTGAGGAGTGTATTACTAATACCATAAATTTCTAGGTATTAGTAATGCAAAAGATTTAATACATGCATTAATATGGTTAAAGACCCGATTACCCCTCAAAAGTACTTTTACATCTTTTCCACCATAATTGTGATGGATACTTTTGTAAATAATTTTTTTTATACAATGCAGACTATTTTTAATACATCAAATCAAACAATGTAAGAAATAATCTATGCATAACTAATACAAGTATAACTAATACATGCATTACTAATGCAAGCATTACTAATACACTTTATTGCTTATGAAACTTAGTTCCTGTTTTTGTAAATTGAGAAACTTGACCTTAAGTTCCTCACTATTCCCAAACTTTACCTTAAATTCCTCTCTATTCCCTCTTCTAATATAAAAAAAAATAGTAATATAAATATAATCATTCTAAACTTTTAATGAGATCTGAGCAATTTTATCTTTTATGAATAGTTGATTTCCACCACCACAAACAATTCAAAATGATCAATTCATTTATGAATTGATGCATCATACCAAAAGACACACTATTCGTATTTCCGTCAAATGTGATACATTTTGAATGGGGTTAGTTTAAAATAAATTCAATAAGTAATTAGTTTACAATAAATGTTTTTTATTTACATAAAAAAATAATCAGAAGTCACAAAAAATATATATTGACTATACAATATAGTTTGTCAAAAATCACAGAATGCATACACTCATTATACGATACAACTTACCTACATGATCAATATACTGACTATATGTTATGATACATCCAAAAAGTTGAATATAATTTATCTATACATGAAATATACATTGACAAATTCGATCTCGATCAACTCAAAATTACCTCTAAATAGTCTCAAAATTTAGATATGAAATCCTCTCAATATTTCGAGTCTTTTGTTATATAATTTACTTGAAATGATTCACGATTTTGGTACGTTGATTTTTTTCAAAAAATAATACTCCCTCCGTCCACAATTATTTGTCAAGGTAAGGTCACGCACACCCCTCAAGGAAAATTTAATACAAGGTGTAATTTGACTAATATAACCCTACTATACCAAGAATACCAAAAGTCCACATAACTTTTCAATTGAACTACACTATCATTAAGGGCAGAATTGGAAAAAAAGTGACTAATTATTTCTTGATTGTTTAAATTGACAATTAATCTTGATTGTGGACGGAGGAAGTAATGAAGAAGACGAAGCAGAATGACGAATAAGAGAAAAAGCAGAAACATCCAATAATAACGAAATTGAAAGGGGGCAAAAAAAAGCAGAACACCATCAATAATGAAATTGAAAGGAAGAAGAAAAGTATTTGATCAATTTTAATAATTTTGAAAATTGTGTTAATTTTTGTGTAAAGCGAAAAGCCGAGTGACCCTTTTGTATACTTTCCCCTTTTTAATGCTCTATGGGATCGTTTGGTACAAACATGGATAATGCAGTGATTAGTAACGCAGTGATTAGTAATGCAGTGATTAGCAGTATAGGGATTATTTTTTGTCAAGTGTTTGGTTTACTACTTTTCACTTAATTTTGTGTTTGATTTAAAATTCTACAAAAAATTTCCTTCCTATTATACCCTTGTGTTATATATTATGAGTGTTTATTTCATGTAATTGGGTCAAAGTAGATAACCACCGGACCGGACAATTTTTTTTAAAGAATTTTCTATTCCATTTGATTAGTTAATCCAAATACATATATACATAAAATTGTTATTAATTTTAAGGTGTGATGTACCACTAAGAAGATCACTGATGGCACAACGTATTTCTAATTTTTTGTTGGTGAAGTATATATCTTAAACTTAACATAGATTTAAGACTACTTAAATTGTTCAATACCTAAAACTTATTTTTTTTTTTAAAAACAAATAGTTCAAGTGGGTAATCGACAAACTATCTTGAATAAAATAAAAATCAAGAAAAAATAGAGAAAAAAATATTAGTGAAATCATTAAATTACACTAAACAGATTTGGAGAATTAAAAAAGAATATTTATAACCATTTCAATATAAATAAAAAGAAAATTAAATTACAAAAGAAATTTAGAAAAAGGAATAAGGGGTTAGTTTAGTCATTTAGGGGTCTTATCCAAGGTTTAACAAACCTTGGATTAGTTATCCCTCCATATTCTAGGGATAAGATAAGACCACATATGGTGGATAAGCAATTCATGGATTAAATTAAATGAAGTAACCAAACAATGTATTAGATGGACTAAATTTTAATCCATGGATTATTCTATCTAATACCGCCTACCAAACGGGTCCTATAAGGTTAGCTATAGCTGAAAGACTGAGACTATTCATTTTTCGGGCCAAATTCTCTTTCACACGCTTCTTAAGAAAATATAAATATTTTGTTATGATTATATTAAGGGATATAACATCCACTCTTAAAAGTAGGTGAATAAAAATCAACACCAAACTATATCTCAATTCATTGGTCCACCAATTTCATCAAATAAACCCTTTAACCAAAATTTGGATATCAAGTAAAATTTCGATTTTAGCTTACAATGACTATTCATAGATTCACCAATCATTATTATTTGATTTATGAGATTAATTACTATCCACGGATGTGGAAAAGAAATTATATTGTTGATTCATCTAAAAAAAATACTTATTTAATTTCTTTTAATAAAAAGAGTACTATTATATGGTGACATTCATCATAGGTACTCCAATATAAATTTCTATAATGTCGGTGACATTAGATGAAAGTTTAAGGGTATAGTAATATTTTCCTAGATCAATTTATTTTAAAGGAATTGTGTTTTCTGCTTTATTCTTTAGACCACATCAACAGGTCTACCATCATTTTCTGTTAAATTACAATTAATGCCATCCATGAAATAATAATAAAATAATCAAAAAGTCGATAGACTCCTTACGCTTCAGAAATAATTTATTGTGATTGAAAAAATCGTCCTCTACTATATTATAATTTTAGATAATTGAGATGTATTAATTAGAATATCAATAGTATATAGAATTTATAAAAATAAATTATGCATAATTTTATCCTAATATTTTGTATATAAATATAATGTTGGGTCCGTGCTAACACGGGCCATTTTTACTAGTAATACTTAAAATCAATAGTATCAAAAATATTAAAACATTATTTCAAAGAAATAAATCTTAAATTTTTAAAACGTATTTTTTTTTTAACAAAAAAAAGAGAAGATGAAAAATAATTAATCATTAAATGTGAAAATATAATAATTAAATTAAGAAAAATAGTTATTTCTAAAAATAAACTGTAATTTAGTAGTTAATCTCATGAATTGCGCTAAGGCTATTAACTATTAAGTATCTTTAATTTCTCAGGGATATCCCAAAATAAAGGCATATACTATAATAATATGGATTAGAAGCAAAAGTTTGCAATATATCATTTATCAGAAGTAATAACAAAAACAATAACATATTTATTGCATACAAAGAAGTAATCAATCAAAATCACTAAAGAAACTTTATTATATAAGATCATATAAATTATTATAACTAGATGTATAAAAATCAATTTCCCAAAATCAGCTGTGTTGTAGCCTATAAGTTGGAACAGCCATTAAATGATTTGCCCTGCCTGTAACTATACCAAATTGCTCAGTCATGTCCAAATCCTTAGGCTGCATCTCATTTGGGAGTTCCCAATCAAAGCAATGAACCAATTGTGCCACCACAAGACGAACAATAATTAATGCCAATTGCATCCCGAGGCAACTTCTTCTACCAGAACCAAATGGTAAAAGTTGATAATCACGTCCACGAATATCTACGTTACTTTCAAGAAATCTCTCTGGCAAAACTTATCAGCATCGGTCCAAAAATTAGGATCCCTATGAATAGTGTATGCATTGACAATAACTTGTGATCCTTTTTTGATATAGAAATCATCTACCATACAATCTTCCATGGCTTCATGAAGTAGTAATGGGGCAGCAGCATGTAGCCTAAATGACTCTTTAAATACCATGTTTAAGTATTTTAAGTTTTCTAAGTCTGATTCTTGTACCATTCTGTTTAGGCCTACTACTTCTTCTAATTCTTTTTGGAGTTTCTTCATTATGTCTGGATTTCTTAGAAGCTCTGACAGCATCCATTCAATTGAACTTGATGATGTATCTATTGATGCCACAAGCATGTCCTGAATTTAAATTAAAAAATTAGTATAACAATAATTTGATGATGATGAATCATCTAAGATCATATTATCGAGTCATAAAAATAAAGATAATATAAAGTATTCATGTAGTTGACTCAAATTAATTTTTGAAGTGACAGATAGCTGATTGATTGCTAAGTATGTTATTCCCTTTATTCAATTTATGCCTCCTTCGCTTCAATACCCTTTCATTTTAAATTTGTTTTACAATATTATAATTAGAAATAATTTAACTTTGTAATTTCTATATTTTTATCTTTAAAGAAATAATTTACAATCACATAAATATCTAAAGATTGTTTTATATTAGAAATTTCAAAAAATCTTTTTTTTCTTAGTCATTATATCAATTCAACAATACTTCATAGAATGAGATGGAGAGTAACATTCTTTTACTTTTAGTATGGTATATAAGGATTGACATCTTTCCTTATTTATTGTCATAGAAAATTATATGACTTATTTTAGATGTTAAGTTTTAAAAAATCTGTATTATTTTTTTAAACTAGTCAAATACCTTTACATAAATTGAGACAGAGAGAATGAACATACCAACATGACAGCTTTGATATGGCGACGATCAAATTGGAACTCTGCTTCACCAGATTGCATAATTTCCATCATAGTGTCTACAAAGTCTTTATTTTTCTTGTGGTCCTTAGCATTGACATGTTCATCAATAATCTTCTCTACAAATGGATCAAGCACCTTAGAAGTATCCTTCATTCTACGTGTGAGTCCTTGGAGGTCAATAACACCAAGAAAAGGGAAAAAATCACCAAGATTTGGTGTTGCAGCTAGAGTTGTAACCTCTTGAACTAAATACTTAAATCCCCTTTTGTCCAAATCCTCATCCGTAAACTTTTTCCCAAAAACCATTAAGCAACTCAAGTTGGCACTCAACTTCGACACTTGAGCACTAAGATCAACATCAACACGACCTTGAGCTATTTCTTTGATCGATTTGATCATAATGGCAATTTCTTCACTTCTAGTAGATTGGAATGAGTTAATCTTCATGTTACTCAACAAATGGACCGTACACAATTTTCTCATGTTACGCCAATATGCGCCATACTTTGAGAAAATCAAATTCCTTTGGCCATACGATATGTATTGAGCGGTCTCGTTATGAGGCCTACTAGCAAAAATATGATCATAAGTTTTGAGAATTTTTTCTGCTGATTCAGGGGAAGATATAACATAAGTTGGTACCAATCCAAATTTCATGTAGATGATAGGACCATATTTTAGAGAAAATTTGTGTAAATCATGAGTAAGATTTTCACCTAAAAGATGGAGATGTCCTAATATTGGAATGCCTTTTGGACCAGGAGGAAGTTTTTTCTTGTTTTTGATATTTAGTAACTCATAGAAAATGAATAATAAAATAAGAGCCAAAATGAATGTTGGCAACACAAAAGCCATTGCTAATAATAATAAGACAAATAATAGACAATATTTGCAAGTTTGTTGTATGATTTATGGGAAAGGGCACATACTTATATAGGAAAATAAATCATGTGAACGGCGGCCCCTCAATAGTTATTGTGAAAAGGAAAAGTCTATATAAATTACGAGTAGGTGAACTATAACATAATCGTGTCATAATATTACTGTTATTATTTTGAGTAGTTTGTCATTATACGACAACAACAAAAATAACAGAACAAAATTAATTGTTAATCCTCTTAATTAGACAAATTAGCTACGGATAATTAATAAGAAAATTTTATTAGCTATAAGCAATTTAAATGAGATTCATAGCTAATAATTTCAACAACAAAAAATCAGGGTGGAGTCAGCTTAGGCTTAGAAATTTATCCGAATCTTTTATAACAAAAAATTGCATTATTTATAAATGGTTCAAATTATTTTTATATGTATGTATATATAGTAAATATTGAACACACTTTAACTAGTTCATATATTTAGTCATTTATATTATAAAATTCTCAAGTAATAATTCTGACTTTGTCATTGTTCAAAATGAATTGTTATGCAATTTGAAGTAAGAAAGTCAGATACTCGACCAAAACGTGGTCCTTAGAAAGTACCAAAGTGTTCAAAACGGAAACATATATTAAAGATATTTGACATTGAATAAAATAATTATTTTGGTTATAGAAATTGTGTAAATGTAAGTTTTTGGGGTTAGAAAGTACACATTAGTAACTTACTAGATATGGGACCCCGTGCCAGCACGGGGCCCAATATATGTTACTGTTTCTGTTTTAATTTATGTGGTACATATGAAATTTGAAGTTAATCAATTTTTTAGTATGTTTTTATATATTTTAAGTTGCTAATTATTTTTATTTAGAGTATGTTTTACGTAAATATATTATAAATCACAATAATTAACAAGTTAATATAAAAAAAAACTTATAAAAAATTCATTGACTTTTGAAATTTCATTTGTATCACATAAATCAGAACAAAGCGAGTAATATATATGAAAATTACATAAAATGTGCTATAACTCACAATAATTAGCAACTTAAAATATCTATATATCTATATTTCTCCCAATTTATGCGGTATAGATGAAATTTTGAAAGTTAACAAAAACTTTTTATATGTTTTGAAATATTTTAAGTTATTAATTATTATGATTTATAATACTTTTTACATAAAAAATTTATTTATATAAAGTATAAAAAAGAAAAAATTTAGAAAAAGGAAACATAAATGTCAGCAGGAGTCCAATCTATGTTAATTTATATGTTTTAATTATTGTAATACCGATTGAATTTGGAGAGCCAACTAAATTTTTTTAAAGGATTTTTTTTATAAATTTTAAGTTGTTAATTATTATAATTTATAATATTTTTATTAATTTTAAACCAATATATGTTTTTCTCTGTCTCAATTACATGAGACATATGGAATTCGGAGAGTCAACTAAAATTTTAAAATATGTTAAATTGTTAATTATTATACCTTATAATACTATTACGTGATTTTCAAATAAAATATGTAATTTTTTTATTTCAATTTATATGTCATTGATATAATTACATATATTAGGTAATGAAGAATTAATGTGTAAATTATGTGACACCTATGAATTTTGGAGTGTAAATCAAATTAGTTATATGATTTAAAAAAAATAAAGCGGTTAATTATTACAATTTATAATACTTTTTATATATTTTTTAAATGATATATATATATATATATCTTTATGATATTGATATTAGTATTATAATAAATTAAATTTTATTATTTTAAATTTATGATCTCAATTGTCAGCCTATGCCACATTATAAAATGTTCCAAAGTAGATATCAGATTTACAAAAATGTCGATGCCAGCTAAAGTAATAAAATAACATCTAAGGGCATGAACCTATATATGTATATATAAAGCTGAATATAGACAATTTGATGTGGCATCTCTCTATGACCAGTATTTCTATTCATCTTTTTTTTCCTTTTTTTGACATTTTATCTTTGTTTTGTATTTTTTATTTGTATTTAAAAAAAAAGTATTTATGTCATACCCGATTAATTATGCCCTTTATAACATCCATTACACTAATATAGATTTAAGTAAATGAAAATGGAAGATGAAAAGATAAAAACTATTCATTTTTTATAACTGTTTATAATTATTTAGCCTATAAAATAAATAAAAATAGTTGAGCATTTGCAACAAATAAGAACAAATTTCCTCACTTTGGCTCTTCTTCTTCTGACGATAATGATCAATATATGGTATCAACTTTTGTCGCTAAGATGTCCATCAAATTTTCATGTGACTTTTTTAACAAAAGAGAAAGAGAGAATTTCTCATGATTCTTGTGAAGACATTGATGTAAAGAAAGAGATTATGTAACAAAAAATTCTTTTCAAAATAAAAGACTTTTTGAAAAAATGTTTATTCCTCCTACAAGGAGAGAAAATTCATTGTGGTTGAGAAATTTATAAGAAGGCTGATTAGTGTTTCAAAGGGTAAGAAAAATTATTTGGAGAAAAAATCATTCTATTTATGGAATTCGTATCAAATTAGGAGGAGAACAAGCAAAACTTTATTTTGTGATTTGAAAAGAGAGAAAATTAGATATTATTTCTTTCAACCTCATTATTCTTCTAATTTCTTTCTTCTTTTATTTGGTCTTGATTTTTTGTATCTTTAATTAAAGTTTTTTTTTCTTATTTATCTTTAATTAAAGTTTATATATATTTTCTTAAAAAAGAATTTAAAAAGATGATCATATTTAGTTCCTTTCCTCATCAATGCTATTAATCTCATAATTAGTGTTATTTATATTATTTTCTTAATTACTTTTTTTTCTTTCATTTAATTATTTATTTGAAGAAATTAGTTATTATAACTTTATAAGAATTACACATGTATTTTTACATAATTGATTTGTTATTTTTAAATTTTTTGGATCATTCTTCATCTTAAAGTTTCTATCTATATGTAATAATAAAGCCAAAATAAAAAATGTGGGGTGACACCTTCTTAGCAATAGATACTTATTTATTCTTATCAATGTTTCTGACATTTTTTGTTATTTTTTCCTTAAAATAATTGTTGCCTCGATTTTTAGTTTTAGTTTTATTTTTTTAGCATTTTCTAATTTTAAAAGACTGAAAAATTTATATTGAAAATTTACAAAATATAAAAAATGATTTATTTAACTCCTATCATCATCAATATTATTATTAATTTGTTTTACTTCTTTTCTTAATCTTCATTTCATCATTAATGTAATTTATATCATTTTCTTAGATATATATATATATATATATATATATATATATATATATATATATATATATATTTGTGACATTTCTTAGAAGTTAGGATTACTATTTATTTAATTTTTAAAATTTTTGAATTCTTTTGTCATACTAAATACAACATGTTTTATTATAATTACATTTAATATATTAATCAATATATTGTACGAATGAAAAGAAAATTATCATTTCACAAAAACAAAGGTTAAAATATAACTTATTATGATTAAGGAAAGATAAAATTATTATTCCAATATCCATAACCATATATAATACATTAAAATTAATTGAAAAGCTGTAAATGGAAAAGGAATCACCATTTAAGGAATCATTATTTTAAAATTTTTGGATAATTTCTTCTTCTAAAAGTTTCTATCCATACGTAACAATAAAGTTAAAATAGAAAATGTAGTGACACCATTCTTACTAATAAATAGTTATTTATTTTTATCAAATTTTTTTGACAATTTTGGTTATATTTTTCTTTAAAATAATTATTGCGTCGATTTTTTTTTTAACATTTATTTTTAATTTTAAAAGATTGGAAATTTTATGTTAAAAATTTTAATAATAGAAAAAATGATTTATTTAACTTTTATCATCATCAATAGTACTAATTTTTTTGACGTTTTTTCTTAATCTTCATCTCATCATTAATGTTATTTATATAATTTTCTTAAATCACTTATTTTTTCTTTTTAACTCTTTTATATATATAAAGTTGGATATGTAAATGATGATGTGACATTTCTTAGAAGCTAAGATTACTATTTATCTAATTTCTCCAATTTTTGAGTTCTTTTGTCATACTAAATACAATATGTTTTATTATAATTACATTCAATATAGTAAACAATATGTTCTAGGAATTAAAACAAAATTATCATTTCAGAAAAATAAATGTTAAATTATAATTTTATTATGATTAAGGAAAGATAAAGATATTATTTCAATATCCCATAACCACATTCAATACATTAGAAATTAATTGGATATAACTGTAAATGGAAAATGAATCACGATTTAAGGAAAATAAATGTTTGCAATACCATAATAATTAAGGAGAGAGTAAGATATTATTTTAATATCCTAATTTGGAACTTTTAATCTACTACTCAATTAAAAATAAAATGCATTTAATAACATTAAAAAGTTATTAGTTTAATATTTTTTCTCATTGTACTAATTCAATTCAATCAAACTTAATTTTAAAGATAAAATAACAGCTTCATTTTAATTGTTATCAATATATTTCAAAAAATTATCGTGAAAAGGCTTTTCTTGCACCTTATATTAATTTTCATATACTATTATTATTTTTTCTGTCATTTTTCAATGATTTTTTATTTCGATTTAAAATTTAATGTTTATTCTTAAAACTCTGATGGTACAAATTAAGGTGGAGTAGAATATAATAAATGATGATTCTTCTACTAAATAAGAAGATATGACGAAATTGAAAGGGTGAAGGTTTTTTTTTTTTAAATGGATAGGAAATTCTATTAAGGTATCATTACATCATTATTCAATATATTTTTAATATAAATTTCATTTGTTGATGCATTTGTTTAGTACTCCCTCTGTCCCTAATTACTTGTCCATTTTGACAAATCAAGAAAGAATATTTTTTTTACCTATTATGCCCTCAATTAAATGACTAATTACTTTGGAAATTGCAGAACTTTTCATCTACTTCATAATTAATAG